ATTCCTAGATGGGCATTACAGTATGCAATATGGAAGCATTAAGGTAGTCCCCATTTTTACATTGATCTTTAGCTGTATATTCAGGCTTTTAAAAGAACTTTAATGGAAATTGAAGCAGGAGGCAGAGGTATTTCTAACATCTGTTTTGGCTTTTTTAAACACCCACCCACCTTCTCTTCTTTCTGCTTCTAGAAAGGTAAGACTTTCAGAGCAATGAAGTAATGCCAGCACAGAGAAGGTGAAAGGAGGCAACAGCTGCCTGAAGATAATCCACTAAATACAGATCATCATCTACCAGTGGCTTTCATCAGTTATTCTAAAACTTCAATTGCCAACACATTGCTCTCACTGTAAACTATACAGATGCAACATTTAAAGAGACAGGATCTAAGAAGGCCAATACATTTCCAAGAAAAATATGCAGTATCAACATCTGTATCGTTGAGCTGTGGTTTTTTTTTTTTTTTTTTTGAGTGTTTTGCCTAACTGTTGGTTTAAGTAGAATTTTCCAGCACAGTGCTGGATACAAAACATTAGACATGGGAATAAGCTATCACAGCTTACATTAATATAAAAAATGTGTATTATACAATGCTTGATAGAGATATACCGTTTTATGAAAAAAAGTGAAACTGGTTTTAAAAAGCCCCAGCCATTAGCCCTCATAAAAACTTACTGGTTTGAACATTTCAAAATACTGGTTACAGAAACACAACAAAACCTTAAAAAAAAGGAATATATATTGCCAATATAAACAAACTTTGGTGCAACAGCATGCTTCTGAGGGGCAGGCATTGAAATGTGATGGCAGGAGAGGGTCAAAGAATCAGGGGCTCTGTCAATGACTTGCTATGTTACCCTAAGCAAGTCATAGCCCCAATCTCTGCTGCCAGGAGGGAAACTCAGGTGTGATGTGTGCATCTCTCTCCACTATAGGTGTTTATTATGACAGGAGCAAGGGTGATACAGAACTGGAAGGGGAGAGTATGTTTGATGTTACCAGGCTGGCTGATGGGGTACAGAAAGGGAAGAGAGCAGTAAACCAAGGGGACAATTGCACAGAGGCCGGGCATTCCAAAGTGGTCCAGAGCTCCCAGCCACCACCACTGCTACTGCAGCAGCATTAGTGGCTGAAGTCCCGGGACCTTTTGAATTGCTGCAGGAACACCGCTTCCTCACTCCACAGAGCTCTAAGGGCTGGGGAAGAGGGACCAGCACAGCACTGAAGGCCAACTGCCCTCAGTCCCACCCCTTTTGCCCGAGGCTCTTCCCCTTCCATGGGCATGGTATTGGTCCCCCCACACCTAGCCCCTGGGCCCACGGTGGCTGTTGGCCCCTTTGACATCACCCAGGAATAGTGTTTCCTGTAAGTTGAGCACGGAGCAGCCAACCAGAAGAGATTCAAATGCCTCCCAGAAGATTAGAATAGTGCCCACAGCACTCTCAGCTAGCAGCACATGTTTCTACTCGTGGTACACATCTGCACATGCTTTGGTGCACATACCAACATTTATTCTGCACATGGATGGAAAAAATAGAGGGAACACTGCCCAGGAACCATGTTGCAGGCTAACGAAAGGAAACCATCACATGGCGAGTGGCTAGAGTGCAATGTGTGCAGGAAAGATCAAAGCTCCCAAAAGGTCCTGAAAGAACATCTATATAAACCCCGCTACAATTTAAATAGCATTAAGAGGTTGGTGATACAGATAGAGTTAAAAGGGAACCCCAGGTGGTGTATGTTAAAGTTCAATAAATAATTTAATCACTCTGAGTGAAATTTGCCCAATGTTAGGGTGTCTTGATTTCTCTTGGAAAGGATGATGTGCCTTCCTCTTCCGGTACCCAACAGGCCAACAATACCTATCATAATTGCAATTGCTGAAAAACATAACATGGTGTCTATAAAGAAATATTCCCTGAATATTCACAGGAAGCAAGGAACAAGGACTTGTGTGATTTGGGCATACAATTTGCTCATCTTTTTCATTAGATGAAAGTCAGTTGTCATATATACCACCGGCAGTTAATCTGATTTATAGCCCCTCCTACAAACCAATTGGTTCCTTGGCATTTTCAGTGTCAAACAGGCAGGATTAAAAACCAGAACACAGTACCTTTACACTTGCCAACTCTCCTTCATTTGGAGGAAGACTCCATACATCTGGATTGTTTTATGGGAGTTTTTCAGTTCTTACCATTGGTTTGAAGCATTTTATTGTGTGTATATATTGGGGGATTTTTAAGACGGTTATTGATTTGCTCCGGTGTTTTTAAGTCTCTTTTAAGAAAATAATTGAAGATTGGCAGTCTTGTAATTTATACGTTGCCTAAATACAAGAGATATGCAAAAATAGCAGAATAAATAGAACCCAGATCAGAATGCAAACAAAAGGTGTTATAAATATTCCCAAGGTTCAGTTTAAGAGAAATAAATTAGACAGAAAAAACCCTTTTGAATGTGAACAGCTCCCTCCTTCATCAGCTTCAGCATAGACTGATAAAGTACAGAAATGCTACTGTAGCCCCTCAAGGCTTATTTTGACTAAAGCTTAGGAATGCAACATATAAACACTAGACTCCCACATTACACTGTTACAACTTGCATTAACAGTGACTGGACAAAAGCCACATTTTCATAGAAACATCTTACAAGGATAAATCTTGTGTTTAGTTAAAAAAAACCCTATTTCCTCACATAAATCATGCTCTCAAAATTCAAGAGGTGACTGATATACTGCAAACAACTGCAGAATTACTTTCCTTTTCAACTGCACTAAGGGGTTCTGTTTATCTGTTGATGTTTAACTGAAGACACACTATATTTCTGAATTCAGAATTGTGAATGGCACCCACATTTTGTTTCAAAATAGCACTTATCTTCCTCAGGAAATATACATATATATAGTTCCTAGAATCAGCTTACTAGAGAAAGTTAACAATATAAACATCTTTATTCAGCTATAGCACTGGCAATTGCTCACTTATTATTTGTATTGTGGAGTCCCAGATACAAATCAAGACCTCACTGTGCTATGTGTTGTACAAACAGAATAAAAAGACAATCCTTGTCCCAAAGAACTTACAATTTAGTAGAGCAGAATCTCTGCTTCTAGTTATTTTATCTACACACAGAACTTCACCATCAAGTGTTTACTATAACTGCCACACTGTTGTGTATTGAAATTTTTGGGGGTTTCTTTATGAACACAGGTATGCCATTTCCACAATAATTAGCCTGCAGTGCATAGATGAAAGAGTTTCACCCAACTTAATTATATTACATATATCAAACGAGTACTATACTTCCACTTAAAGTATATTTAAAAAAAAGGAGATTAAGAGAATGATAAACATAACCCTATATTCTTTGACTTGGCATCAAGGTAGCAGTATCAGTTAATAGTAAACACTATAAATTGGTAATCTAAAACATACTTCAAACAAACATAAAACAGTGGGCTGTGCCCACGAAACCTCATACCACCATCTACATGTTTTGTTAGTCTATAAAGTGCTATCAGACCATTTGTTGGTTTTTTTCCTGTACAGATTAACTCAGCTAACAGACTAACTGAAGTTTATAAAATTTACAGTGAGGAATGAAAATATGCTATTAAATTCTTAGCACCTGCTGCCCTCTTGTGGCTTCTCTTTATAATTGCTAAAATAAAAAAGCTATACAGGTTGGACCTCACTGGTCCCGCACAATCAGGACCCGATTGGTCCTAAACGAGGGGATTTGCAGGACCAGAGAAGGTCCCAGTATCACATAAAAGTTATTTGTAGGTTCTACAGCTTAGCAGGTCTAGGATGGAAGTTCCCATCCCTGCTGTACCCAGCTTAGCATAGCCTGGAATCCTGCAAGCCCAAATAGCAGTGGGGCTTTATCAGCTTTAAGCCATGCCTTGAGCTGGGAAACTACTGAGCAATAAACAAGTTTGACCTAGGTATCAGCTCATGAAAGTGATAAGAATGATGTTGAGCCAAGTACGTTCACACCCAGTAAACAACTGTAGTATAACTAGTATAGGGAGTTCTGGGCCCATTGAGTCTCACCAGGGACCTAGACCTTGAAGGGTGCCTTGGGTGCCCCGGCTGGGGCCACTTCCACTGCTGTCTGGTGCAAGGTGACCTGAACAGGACTCCCTGCAGACTGAAGGGGATTAAGCATGTCCAAGTGCCTATTACTCTTTTATGCATTGCATTGCCTGTGCTTAGTGGTATATTACTTTGTAGTAGCTGTGTAACCATCTGGCAGTATTAAGCATGTAATAGTAGTGACATAGTGAGATTAATAAAAGCAACTATCCCTAATCAAGTCTGTCTTGAAGCAAATCCACAACCCTGTTGGGCCTTGGCACTGTGATATGACACCTTCCACTCCCGGCCTGTGCTGCCAACACCAGATTAGGGCTTCAGACTGCTCCTGCTGCTGCCAGGGTGGAGCTCTAAATACTGTTGGCCCCACTGCTGCTGGGGTGGAGTGCCACGGCAGGAGCTCTATGGGCACCTGATTCCATGGCCGGGATCGGGGCTGCACAGCGGGGGCTGGAACTGTGCAGCTGGGACAGAGCAGCTCAGCAGCTGCCTGGCTTTGCGACTGGGGAGTTGCGCAGTCAGGGCTGCTGGTGGGGCTGGAGATCCCTGTTGTGCCACCCATTCCACACACATACCTCGACCTCCCTTCTTCTGGACTCTGGGGTCCAGGAATATCTGTGGTCCATGCCGGACCACAGATGTTGCCGGCCCAGGGAGTCCTTATTAAGGGAGGTACAACCTATACATGATTTGTTTTTCAAGAGTGTTTCTTATGGAAAAATATTCCTGTGATAGTTGCTGAAATAAAGCTACAAAATACCTTTACAAAATTAGGCATAGTAGTAATCAGGGGGAAAAAAAAATCAGAGATTAAACTTCAAAAGCAGCAATTTAGACTATTATTATGCCTTTCTGTACCAATGTAAGACTGCAAGTTACAGCACATATTAATGTCTTACGTTTTTCCAGGAGATTCTTTCAACCAGAATATATCATCACTTGTAATTCCATATTCCAATGCACCTGCAATCTATGAATAAAACAGAGATAATTTTGGAACTGCTAGAACACAACTGAACTTGAACACTACAAGACTCTGTATTGTTTTCATTAGCTCAGTTCTGATTTTCTGAAAAATAAAAACTACAAAGCTAAAAAGTTATACAGCGGTGCTAATATACATTGTAGAATGTTACTATATTTGATTACGTACCCAACAGTTTTTTAAAAAAAGCCATCAGATATTGAAATTCCCAATGCTTTTGTGTGGAATCACCCTTATGTTCTTCATTGTGTTTGGTGACTTCTCAGAAAGTTTAGACTGACTGAAGTATTGGTCACCCACATAATTGCCAAAGTTATCTATAGATAAGGCAGGAAAATACAAGAGATTACATTTACTATAGGAAGAGTACATAACAAAAAGGGGGAAGAGTCTCATCACAGCAGCCAAAAAGTGGAGCAAGCACTGCTTACCCAAACCTAGCACAAGATAGGAAATTCTCTTATCAAAAGAAGTGGGAGTTGTACTATGTTACTGCTTTACTATAACACGTTCAAAAAAAGCTCTTAAATGCATCAAGGAGTAGTATTAAAAATAAGTTGTCTAAGGCTAGGTCTATGCTAGGAGGCAATGTGAAACTAACACAGCTGAGTCAACATACCATGGCATCTCCACTGCCAGAGGTGAGGGGTGTGTGTCATTAACTCCCCTTACTTTTCTTGATCTGGTAAAGTACTAGAGTTGATGAAATGAGGTCACAGTAAATTTAATGGGTCTAGTAAAGACTTGCTAAATTGACTCCCGAGAGATCAACCCCCTCAGCACTAATCTCCCCAGAAGTGTAGACAACGTCTTAGGCAATCAGCAAGTTTTTGAGGAAGAATCATGCACATTGTTGTTTCCAGTTCTGTTAGTGGGGTTTGGGTTTTTTTACATAAATATTACTTTGTGTTTTTGTTGAGAAAACAAGGTTGAAGAAATGTGACCTGCACATGGAGAAAATGTTAGTGAGGTCTGACGGCTCTAGCAAATGGTGGACTTCATTTCTGTCTCAGACCATCCTTAGAGAGGGTTGTCTCCCACACAGACAAGCTTTACTGTTATTATGGAGAATTCCATTGTGACAAAAAAGCAGAGTTGCTGATCAAAGTCTTCATCCTTAAGCTTTAGATGATCTTTTACATATCTTGAGCCAAGCCATGGGGTACTTTGAAGATAAGGACTTAGACTTTAAACTTGATTTAAAAAAATCCATGGAAAGTCAGTGAAGAGAGAAAAGGACAAGTATGAAGTGCTCATGTTAAGAAACATACTTGAGTGTTCTGTACTAGTTGGAGTTTCCAAAATGCTGAAGGACTGCATATTCCTGTATTCTTACCTTGAAGTTATCCAGACAAGAGATGCAGAAGGCATGAATAACTGAGGCCAGAATGTGACTGAACTTCCTAGCCAAGTGGAGATGGTAGAAAGCATTGCTTATAGATGCTTCTATGTGATAGCTCAACATAAGCAAGGAATCCAAGAGTTATTCCTAGACTACGGACTAAATTGCCCAGTAAGGCGTGAGTGACATCAATCTACAGAGACTGTACCTCATCTGCAAGACCTTCAGAATACTTTCCTCTGCCCAAAAGCATCACCTCTGTCTTGCTTCATCCAAGAGCTGATCTCATTCAAGTACTGGACCGTCTTGTGATATTCTACAAGCACAAGTAGATCTGAGTATCATCTGCATATTGCTGGGACTTGAGTTCATGTCATCTGAATGTTTCTCTTAGGCTATGTCTAGACTGCAAGCCTCTTTCGAAAGAGGCTCTTTCGAAAGATACTTTCGAAAGAGCCTCTTTCGAAAGAGAGCGTCTAGACTGCATGCGGAATTTCGAAAAAGCAAGCCGCTTTTTCGAAAGAAAGCACCCAGTGAGTCTGGATGCTCTCTTTCTAAAAAGCCTGTTCGCCTTCTTTCGAAAGAGCACTTTTGAAAGAAGGCGTTCTTCCTCGTGGAATTAGGTTTACCACTGTCGAAAGAAAAGCCGCATTCTTTCGATTTAATTTTGAAAGAACTCGGCTGCAGTCTAGACGCAGGTGAAGTTTTTTCGAAAAAAGGCTACTTTTTTCGAAAAAACCCCTGAGTCTGGACACAGCCTTAGAGGTTATATTTAGATATAGAAAAGGAATGGAGAATTGATTCTAGTGGTAGAGGTGCAGTTTCCCATTAGTACTCATTGTGATCATCCTTTCAGAAAGAGATCTAACTATTTTTGCATGTGTTATCTCAGAAGCTGGCCACCTCTCACACAAGACAGATTCTCAAGGTCAACAATGTTAAATACTGCAGAGACATCTACCAGGATGAAAAAGGATGGCTCTTTTCTATTCATTGACAGGTTATCATTCATTAGTGCCACTGAAGCAGCTGCCACTAAAGCTTTGCCAATGATGTTCATAATATCAGAGCACCAAAGATCCAGTACCTCTCTCTGACAATTGAAGGAAATGGACAGACAGCTGACATGGCTTACTGAACAAACATAGATCATAAGAACAGCAATGTTTACACAAAAATATGTTCAATACCATCTCCACAAATCTTATGGTGAAACTCATTTCTCCTTGCAAAGACTATAACCATTTTTAGACTTGACTAGGTTATGCTTTCTCTTTCTTTCACAAAAGATAAGGATTGAGGGAATTATATCTGCAGAAAACACATGCAGAAAGTCCATCTTTGGTTTTTACACTGTGTCAAAGGAATTTATATCAAATGTGATATAGCTATATCAAATGTGAACTCAGCTAGTTCTGAGAGGCTTAAGGTTCAGTAAATACCACAGAGGGGCTTAAGATAACTAACATGCTATGGACCCTTTACCACAAGGTTATTGGTTAGAAACCATCCCTGATTGATAGCAACTTAATTTGAGAACAGACCAGTGGCCTATATGAAATGACTTCAGATATCTCAGTTCAGTTTCCAGGTATTTACCTCTCAAAGACATCATCACAATTAAAATTGGCATTTTCAGGTGAGGTCCAAACAAGTAAAATCACACTGATTCCCAGAGGTGGCCCCTCTCAATTAAGGTAAAAACACATTGTCAAGATAGCGTGGGAAAGCTTGCATGGTGAGTGTCTATATTTAACTGTCAGTTGTACAAGAGGACTCCAGTTTTAAGAGCTGTTATTCTGGTACCTTTCACCAGCACAAAAATCCACTTTTTTAAAAGAAAGTAGAACCTGCCTATTGCTCCGCAACTTCAGATGTATGGCCCTGAGACATCCCATGAAACTGGATTATGTGACATGGAATCCCTTGTGCAGCACCTTGGAAGCTATTACACAAGCTAAATCCTACTTCTACCTGTTCTGATGTTTTAGAAGATTAAAGGTTTAAGTCTGCAAAGCTAAATTCATATCAAGAGGCTACTGGAGCCAATGATGTTCAGAGGAGTGAAACAGGGCAACAGGTTATGGATGGTCTGATTTAAAACGGGATAAAAAAAAAAAAAATCAGTCTTGAGGTATTCCCATACCACAAAGCCAGACTGACCAGATCCTTACAGAAAAAGCAACATTTATGCCTTTAAGTTAATGTCACAATCTCAATTTAACTTCAGGGATCTTATGCTTTGTTTCTGAAAAGTTCACTTACATTAAAGACTGTTCTAGCTCACACAGTCACAGAAGCAAATCATGTGTAATTTCACCTGTGCATTTCACCTGTCCTTTGTTAAGTCCTCCAAACATGTAGTGTGAGCTACAGCAGAAAAAGTAAAGCTACTGAAGATGTCACATGGCAGACATGACTTACATTTGTAGGATATTTTGGTCTCCCTCCAGTGGCAATGACGATGTTTTCTGCAGTAATGACAGTCTGCAAATAAATACACAAAGTTAGTGTTATTATGATCAACAAAGTCCTACCAATCTCTGAAAGAATCGCCAGCTTTAGTCTAAAACAACCTTATTGTCTGTCATTAGCTTTTAATTATACACATATGGGTGATAAGAATGAAGAAAAATTGGCAATGGCACATGCTATTTGTGTAAACTAGTGCACCAATCAGCAAATTAACAACAAAGGTTGCATTCATCTAAAGTATGTGCACAAAAACGCTTCTCCTATACTTTTCCCACCAGTTTGTCTTTTTAATGTGGCAAGGCTTTCAACTGTTCTTAGGATACTTATAAGACTCTGAGAGGTTCTTTTTTGATGCAGTAGTTGTGTACCAACAACTGCTATTTTTCTTTGCTAATCTGGCTATAAGAAAAGAGACCATAAGTAAGATATAAAGTGACAAATGATTTGCAGTACCAAACATCAAGACACTTTAAAATTAGTTTGATTTTCAGAAACTGATGAGCACCTATTATTTGAAAGTTCGGTTTCTTTAAAGAACCTCAAGTAGTCACTTCTTGAATAAAATCTAACAGTGCCAAAATTTTCAGATCTTTTACTAAAGGGGCAGAAGTGACTCCCAACCACAACTTCCCATTTAGGTGCTTGAAGTTAAACTGCAATATGTTTGTACTAAAAAAAAAAAAAAAAGAATGTTTTTCCAATCTGCAAATGGAAGAAAAGCAGCTCTTAGATAAGGAGTTTTCAAACTTTGGGTCATGGCTTGTAAGGTTAAATCACTTGCCAGTCCTAGGGACTGTGGTTCGCCAATCTTGGCCAATGGAAGCTTCAGAAAGTGGTGGCCCAGCCTGCTCTACTTCCCATTGCTCTTATTGGCTAAGAACAGAGTACCAGAGCCACTGTGAGTGGCCACACCGGCGGATGCTTAGGTAAACAAAGCACCTTGCAGCCAGCTAGTGGCTTACCCTTACAAACATGACCTAAAGTTTTAAAATGCATTTTAGATGATGTGGGAGATAATATAGATGAAACAGTTTTGTCTAGTGGTTATACCATGACAGAGTGAAGAGATCTGGGTTTCATTTAAACCTCTGCCAGTGATCTTGGCTCTGCCAATGCTACAGGACTTTGGCCAAGACAATTATCAATCTGGTGCTTCCATTTCCTGATAACAAAAGCTAACACAGAATTGGAACTGGGGTTTCTTATGCTCAATTATCATTAATGTTTATTTAAGCACTTCAAAACCCTAGGATTGAGTGAGCTTTTCAGTTGCCAAATTCTATTAATTTCCATGTGCAGGAGGTTCTGGTTTGTTAACTGCAAACTAAATTTGCAAATTAAAACCTAAATCCTTGTATATTTGAAAACTAACAAGAGAATCGGGGCTAGAGTTTCTGAAGTTCAACCAGATGATGATATACCACCAGCCATTTAGCTCACCTCTTTACCTGCATTTGTCAAACCACAGATCGTGTGTGCATCCACAAAACTGCCTTTAAGGTTGAAATACTTCACTTTTCTGTTTAAAAAAATTACACATACTTAGTGAACAAAAATCAAAGGGTGATACAATCAGCTAGCCCACTCTCTTTAGATCATACTTGAAGTGAAAAAGATAGTAAATATCAGCAAAAATAAATGAAAGAAGAGCATTAGTATTTCATAGATCTATTTGTGACTTCTCCACAGACTTACGTGACCTTAGGCAGGTGTCTTCAATAAACGTTTGTGCCCTAATTATCTATACAATTGGAATAATGTCTTTTGGAAGAGAAGTTGCAAGGTTTAATGCTTAAAAATTCCCACTGCCCTCTTTGAGAACAGGTGCCAAATATGTGCATAGTATTACTATTTCACTATAGCACATACTTGGAAAATTAGCTCTGTGACTTGCTCTGAAATTAGCTATGCACATCTTACATCAGCCATAAATTTCATTTTCACCACAAAGGAAAATTTGCCAAATGATCTAGACAGCCCTGAGAAAGGCCTCAGGGCTTAAAAGTTGGGGACAATATGGGTTTTTTTCCCCTGCTGAATAAATAATGTTACCTATGCATTTATTTTTTCTAGTTCAGGAAACTTATTTACCACCTCACTGGTGTTGTGTGCAACTTCTCTCACAGGAATCTCAGGTCTAATCTATTTGATATTAATGTAAATCCTCCTGCATATGAGAGAGATGGTTTTCTGCTCCTGAAGAACCATCCCAGTTCTCTCACATTTACCCTTAAAGTTACTGCAGTGCTCTTTCAGGAAGAGGGTGGGCACAGTTCCTTCCAAAGCTTATTAATACTACCCTGAGTTATTGTAGCAGAAAGATTTTTAACCACATCTATCCTACAGCTGTGTGGCACTCCAAAACTAACTTTGTGGGATAATAAAACTTCACAGGACAGCCTTTGTCTAGCAGACACACCCAATCACTTTGCACATATGAAGGGGAAAGTGGCAAAAATGTCACTCAACTAAAAAACAACAAATGGTCTGGTAGCACTTTATAGACTAACAAAACATGCAGATGGTATCATGAGCTTTCGTGGGCACAGCCAACTTCTTCAGATGACCGGAGTTTACAAATTGTCTTCACTAGAAAGTTTCAATCCTTGCAAAAATGCAAGAAATGCTAAAGTTGAGAAAAGCTGCTTGATTACGTGAGGGAAGATGATATTGAGAATTTCATTTACTTTTCCTGTAGCTGCACCCTGTGTCCCCAGTTCAAGGATTTGACATAATTTTGAACAGCTTCTGCCATTGTAGACCTATCAAAAAGAAGATATTAAGTGTTAAATGATCATTGTACAGATTCTGAAAATGCAACTCAAAGACTTATGCACAATTGATAGAAGTTAGGAATATTTTGCAACATAACATAAGAATACAGTGCTAAATCAAAACACATATACATAAAATCATCTTTGTAAAATTAGCAAGCCTGATATTTTTAAAGAGTGACCAAAGAACAGTCTAACTGAAATTCAGTTCCCTTGCTAAGTAGGGATGTTAGATATCATTTATTTTAGTAATCACGCAACTGCAACAATTTTTAGTTTTTACAGCTATTAAAATGCTCCCTCTGAGGGAAGGGACAGCATCCAATGCACTTATTGCTCCTGTCCCCATTTCCAAGGAGACTCTTGCTACCCTGCACAGGTGGCTCTATACTGGCTCCCCGCACAGACTAGCTCCCATATTAGAGGCAGCAGTACAGGGAGCTCCCCTGCATGCTCTTCATTTAAAACTCGGACCTAGTTTGAGTTTAAAATACAGAGCACGCAGGGGAGGAGTTGTGTTTAACTGGGACTGCTAAACAGTAAGCAATCACTTATCAGTTAAACTGTTAGCCAGGTAGCCGCTAACATCCCTAGAGTAAAGAGGAACAGAAAAAAATTTGATACTTTTATTAAATATGTACAGGATCACATAAAATGCATAGAAACAATATTCTTTACCAGTCATGGTGAACAGGATGGGATATATTCCAGCCATAACAATGGGCATCTTTAAGGGCGCTCCCTAAAAGTGCTGCTTGGTGTAAAAGCTTTTTAGGAATGCAGCCAACATTCACACAAGTGCCCCCAAGTCCCCATTTGGTTCCTAAAAAGAAAATACAAAAAACCAAAACAGATCATTTTAAACTAACACAGTGAATTTGAAAATTATAAATGCCACTTATGCAATCTGCTGCAGATGCATTTCAAACTCTACTTGTGGTATTTATGGAAGTAACCCTTTAAAATAAAGTTTAAAACTGAAAATACCCTAGGTCTTACACTGCTCAATGCACAAAAGATTTAAAACATGGGTTCCCAAACTGGGGTGTGTGCCTTCCTGGGGAGGCATGAAGACATTCCAGGGGGGGCATGAGGCGACCTAGCACCTTTACCTCCCCCCCCCCATCAAGTTTTGCTGCCCTGTTCAGTTCCTTTTTTCTTTGCTTAAAAAGTTTTGCTGCTATTTGAGGGGGGGACATGAGGGTTTTTCAAAAATCAAAAAGGGGGGTGTGATGCCAAAAAGTTTGGGGACCACTGATTTAAAGCATAGCAATACCAGCTATGTGCAATCCCATTCAAATGTCTGTATTCTTACTTTCTAATTTACATTGTAAGCCGTAGGGGAAAAAAATCAAGAGCTACTTGATTTATACATCATGAACAATGCTACATTGTAAATTACATTTGCTAACAATCATGTTTTACTCAGATGATTTTCAACTTTATGCAAATTCTGCTCCCACTGAAATCAAAGGGAGTTATGCTATAGACTTCTACTAGTTAAAGGGTACTCGCAGTATACATCTACAATGCCAAATACCACCATCAATACACTGGCACTAATGTGCTCAGAAACTGACCTATTTAAAAACTTGTTTGACATAAAAAGTGGTCGTGTCTTACTTTCATACCTTTAGGTGAAGGATCCACATAATCTATAACAGCCACCTTCTTTCCAAACCGAGCAGCTTCAAAACAAAAATAGGGAGAAAATACATATCAGCAAAGGAAGGAGGGAAGGGGGAGGGATATAACCTCATTGTAATAGTGCAGTTTTGGAGAAAAAGATATAAAAGTTATTAAACATAGTTAGTTGGCAGAGGATTTCCCTGACATTTCCAATAGCTGTTTGGCTTTTGTATAAAGATGGAAAAGGTTTAACAAAGATTAAAGAAAAAAAAGGATGTCATTTACTGAAGCGTCAGCCTAGCTAAAGCCCACATTTCATTGCTCTTGTGTGTTAAAACTCCAGATGACAATGAAGCTAGAGTTTAAAGAAAGATAAGGGAGAAGGGGGAAAAGAACCATGTAAGATGGTTCTGTTCTTACCTTTGAATTACTCCTCAAATATATGAATTAATGTTTTAAGAAAACTTTCTTTGTAGGGACTGAATCCTCTAAAGAGACTAGCAGAGACAGTAGAGAGATAACCAGTACTGTAATCATTTAAACAAAAAAGTGAAATTTATTAATTTCTTATTTCTTTACAGTTCCAAACCTTCTTTTGCACAAGCAAGGCCTCCAGAACCTCCACCAATCACCAGAAGATCATACTCGTTCTTCCCTATGAAAAGAACATTTTAAAACAAATAAATAAGAAAGATGGCATAAGTGGATCTGAGGATTTTTATTAAACTATTGTGTCCTATCAGTTTCTCATAACACTCTACTGGACCCACTAAAACATTCTACCCTCCAAAATAACAATGTGCTAGTTCATGATATGACTAACCAGTCTACTTTCAAAAATTAAATGAAAAGCAAAATGTAAACAAAAAACAAGTGTGAAAAGTAAAATAGATACTTTATTTACACTGTTGATCAAAAAGTGGGTTGACACAATAAGTCATAATGCCTCCAACTTATAAAATGAGTAGATTCTAACCAGAAGTCTAATGCATATTTTAATTGATAAGAAGTAACAGGTCCTACATTGTAGCTTAAGTTTCCATGTGCACACTCTTCAAAGCAACATATTATAGAATCTTACGGAACTTTAGTTGAAAAATAGTTGTTGCTAAGTTAGAGTTGACATTTTTCTAACCAAACTATTTAATTTTTGTTCTCAAGAAAGAAGAATTGGCAATTTACTTTGCAAACTAGAGGTCTGCAACAAGGAAGGGTAATTTAACAAACTCATTTTTAGTTTACAGAAATATACAAAAACCAACACCAAATAACTTCTGATTTTTCAGCCTACTGAAGCCCCCCAATGTGTACTCAAATCAATATGACGCCATAGCACTCAACAGCTTGCGGGCTCTGAGCACACCATATTCCCAGATTGCCCCAGCCGTTTCAGCCCGGGGGAGAGTGGTCTTGGTAGAGACGCACATTTCAGGAGAGAGAGAGAAAGGGGGTTGAGCACAGAACCAGTGATCTCCCTATATCATATAAGGGTGGTGCTTAAAAACACGTTAACTGCCTTCGGAGGAGGTGTCACCCCTACCCTCGAGCAATGCAAGAGCTGGGGTGTCTATGGGCTGGGAGTGGGGGGAATGTCAGAGTCCTCCCCCC